GTCCCAACATCTCTGGGGGGGATGTTTATGATAACCATGTGGGATATATTATTACTTAAGAGTCTTTACTTTCTCAAGTTAGGAGAGGAGTCATTGCACTATCATGTTTACCGGTCCGATCGTGAAAATCGTAGAGGGGGTGGTGTTGCTATCGTCTATAAAAAGTCTCTAAATCTAAAAAATATCCAAGTTACATAGGAACTTGCTCTTCCTGAGACCATTGTCTGCAAGCTGTCATTAAATACCACATTTTGCTTCTTATGTTACAGAGCCCCTGATTATGACCTCAAACATGTGAACAAGCTAACCTCACTACTAACGTGGGCAGCCTAACCTCACTACTAACGTGGGCAGCCTCCTGCCCACACTCTCCTATCTTTCTTAGAGACCTCAATCTACCTCTTATTAATTGGACCATAAATGAATGTACATCTGAACTCATACACGCAACCTTGTACAATGCTGTTACTAATCTGGAACTAGATCAACTAGTAATTAACAACACTAGACTCAACAACTGCCTTGATATCTTCTGCAACAGTTTAAACTCAATTTATAGACTACAAATAAAAAAAACCTTTTCCAGCATGATTGACTTTTGTTTCAATATACTCCCTTACTAAGATAATCACAATGATGGTATCCCCAATTACACAAAATGATCTGCTACAATGTCCTACCTGTCAATGACTACTTCAGCATCAACAGCAACAATACATGAGCTCACAATAGATCCAAACTTAATGTAAACCGCTCCAAACTTGATTGCAGAAAATGCAACTTCAGCAATCAAGTGGTCAATGCCTGGAATACTCTACCTGATTCCGTTGTTAGTTCCTCAAACCCCCATATCTTTAACTTTAAACTGTCAACCGTGGACCTCACATGTTTCCCTTTTGTTGTTGTTGTTTATACAATCATATTATATTTGCAACACATTTTATATCTTTTACGTATCCATTGTGTTTCCTTTGTCTGTACATATAAATCTTATATAACTATATCTATTGTTTCATATATCTTTTCTATTAGTTCCATATATAACATCCTTTATATCCTTTTCCTAAGAGCTCCCTAAGGGAGTGTGCATAAGTGCACCAATGTACCCATCGTCCCTGTCCTACTGTCCCCATTGATATGTAGTCATTTTATGTGTTCATGGCCATGCTATACTTATTTATATCTATCTATTTGTACCAATCTCATGTGAAAATGTCCATGTCTATACTAATACTTGTTACCTTGTACATGTTGACAAATAAATAAGTATTTAAGAGCCACGGTGGCGCAGTGTTTAGAGTGCAGTACTGAAGGCTCCTTCTGCTGACTGCTGGTTGCCTGCAAATTGGCAGATTGAATCTCACCAGGCTCAAGGTTGACTCGGCCTTCATTCCTTCTGAGGTGGGTAAATGAGGACCCAGATTGTTGGAGACAAGAGGCTGACTCTATAAACTGCTTAGGGAGGGTTGTAAAGCACTATGAAGCGGTATATAAGTCTAAGGGCTATGACTATTGCTATTTGAGTTAAGAAAGAGATTTGTTTCTAGATTGATTGATATGGAAATGGTGGTAGATGGGCATCTTTGATGTAGGGGTTTCATGTCCTTTAGGCATGAAAGCCAGCTGGGTGACTATGGGGCAGGCACTGAATCATGAACTAATGCAAGGCTTATATGAGTTCACAGAATATGTTACACCACCAACAAAACCAACAAAATAAAAGTAAGCAAGTTTTAGGAGTGAAGACACTAGTCTTATAATGTGTGTCTGAACTTGGTCTGACATAAAGAGGTCACAGAAGACACCACACCCTCTTTGGTTCTGGTTACAGGGCTGTGGTATAAAACAGCCCTTTTAATTTGCTACTGAGGTCTTAGGGCCGCCGCACATGAGCCAGACAAGGTCATGTTCCTGTACCACAGACCACCAGGGGCTGAGCTCTGTGACACACAGAGCCACAAAATGCTCACTTCCTCCTCAACTGGATAGAACTCAAGAGAACCGTTATGGACTGGATGAGGGCTAACAAGCTTGTACTCAACCCGGAGAAGACCGAGTGGCTGTTGTGCTTTCCTCCCAAA